ACCCCACACAGGTTTGTCTCAGATCCCGCCGCCCGACGAGTGTCCGGACTGCCGGCCGCCCTTCTCGCCAGACGAGATGGCCGCATTCGACTTCATTTTCGACGAGTCGGGGCTCTGCCAGCCATATGGACTTGCAGTAGGACACACACACAGACATGGACCCGCAGCACACACACGTGTTCCGTGTTGTGTTGGCGCGTGTGCGTGTCATGCATATGTATGCAATAGATGACGCCTCCGGCATTTGAGTCGGGTCAGCAGTGGGACTACCCCAACGTGTGGGCGCCGCTGCTGCACTTGTTTGTGACGGCCCTGACACGGCCCGTGGACACGCCCCAGCCGCAGGACGAGGCAGGCGGGGCCGAAAACACCATCAAGTACCGCAACAAGGGCATACAACTCGGGTCCAAATGGCTGTCCACTCTCAAGACGGTCAGTCAGCCCGATGGATGACACACACAGGCAGATGGATGCACCCTATCCTCATGGTGTCTGTCTGTGGTTCACTCGTGCAGGGCTATGCGGAGAGCGGTTTGTTCAGCGAGAAGTACCACGCGACCCGTAAGGGCCAGAAGGGCGGCGGCGGCGAGTACGCCAGCCAGCCGGGGTTCGGCTGGACCAACGGGGCCGCTCTCGACTTCATTCACCGATTCGGAAAGGAGATTGTACTCGACTGACTAACTGACTGACGAACTGACTCACACAATCACACACCCACCGAGAGGTGTGGGGGGAGGGAGGGGGGGGAGGGGAGGGGAGGAAAGGTATTTGCTGCTGCTGCTGCTGCTGCTGGTGGGGTGGGGTGGTGGTGCTGCTGGCTGTTGGAGTAAGAAAGATACTGTGAGTTGCTGACAAAGGGCAGGGAGGAGGGAGGCGGTGTGGGTGCGTGCGGGTGAGGTGAGGTGAGGCAAGGTGTTCTGTCACTGACTGACTGGGGTAGTCGTCTGTTTGCCTGACCGATCCTCGTGGCTGGATGGATGGAGGGAGGGAGGAGTGAGGGAGTGGGTGGGTGGGGTGGGTGGTGCTGCAGAAGTGAATGAATGGATGGATGGATGGATGAATGTGGGAATGTCAAACCAAGAAGGAAGGAGATGGAGACACACCAAACCAACCAGGCCAGCCAGACAAGTCACTCACGACGGTTTAGTCGTCTTACGTACTGTAGGCTGCATCAAGTGACTGACTGACTGAGTGGCCGCTGCAGCAGCGGCCCACTCGGCGCGTGTAAGGCTCTTCCCTGCCCAGCCGTGCCTCTCTCTCTCTCTCTCTCCTTGTGTGTGTGTTCGTCCCCTATTCGCGTGTGCACCTTGTGTGTGTCCGTGTGTGTGTGTGTGTGTGCAACCGAGGGAGGTGCGGTGTGTGTCCATTTCTTGACTGGAACGAACACGCGGTGATGGGCGTGTGGGGGTGTGTGTGTGGCTCTCGCTTTCACGAGAGTTGGGGGCTGGATGGAGAAAGACACTTTTCCCGCTTTACTGTTGTGCTCTTTGTTGGCACAACATTAGCTAAACGATAAGACTAACGCTACACACACGAAGCTAGCTGCCGATGTGATGTCAACCAACCCATTCACTCACAGTCGAACCAGTTGGAATCGTTCGTTGTCCCCTCCCTCCCTCATCCATCCATCCATCCAGGTTGTCCTGTCCTCCCGCCCGTTTCTCCCCGCCTTGCAGCACGACACATGAACGTTTTCGCACGCCCATCCATCCATCCATCCTGTCTGTCTATACACACACGAGCCATATACACATACACCCACATCGCCTAGCCTCCCCTGGCTCCTCTCGTCAATCAATGTCAGCCTTCTTCGCGCCGCACCCAGAATGGCTGGCCTTGCCTTCTTCACACTCATTCATCCATCCATCCATCTACGCTAGGTACTCATCAGCGAGGGCACCGGCGTATGACGACCGCCATATGCACCACACAGTTACGCTGCCACCAGACCTTGAAGCGCTTCGGCAGGGGAGCGGCCGGCGCCTCGATGGCTCGCCGCACCGCTGTGCGCAGCTCACGGTCCTTGATGCCGTTCCGCACCAGTATCTGGTAGGACTCCAGGCCTCTGATCTTGGTCAGGGACGCCACGCTCGTCTCGATGAACGCCTGCGCCTCGGCATCCTCAGGAACTAGACAGACACAACAGGCACAGAAACAAGGGAGACTCGACTGTGACAGACATCCCTCCCCTGTGCTGTGTGGGGTGCGTGTGGTGTGGTGTGTGTGGTGCTTTCCATCTCACTACTCACTCTGCAATGATATCTGAAGTATCTTGATGGCGGGGAGCGTCCGCGCCGAATCGCCCCACCTGATCCCCTCTCGACCCACGGCAACCCCATTGCCATTCCAATGAGTGTACGCCATCACGCGGTGGAGGATCGGCTTCTTGGTCGCAATGGCCTCGAGCATGCCCACCACCAGCTTGTCGGCGACCATCCCTTCCTCCGGCCAGATGTCCACGTTGACGAGTGCCGGCGTGTGGGCGGCCGCCAGGGGTGCCATCAGACACCCGCTGTTTGACGTAACTGACAGCTTGGGGGCGTTGGGGAACGGCTTGAGGAACGGGGCGGGCCAGGGGGCAAAGGGGGCGGGCAGCAGCTGGGCATCAAAAGCTGATGAGGGAGGGCTCATGACGAAGACGTTCACCGCTTTAGTGAGCTCAAGAGAGTTGCCTAGCACCTTGGCGGGCTTGGAGAAGCGCGATGGGTCGATTGGGCGCAGCAGCACGTCATGACATTTGGAAGCGATGTCCCTCACGGAGTCCGTCACAAAGGTGGAGGCGTGCGGGGGGAAGTTGAGCACCACATCGTGCGCTGCAAAGCGGCTCTTGAATGACAACCCCCCGTCGCCCTCCACTGTGTCGAATGTGACGGGGATGTCTGCCGACGCGCCGACCGCTGTCCTGAGCTGCTCGAGGGCATCGAGGCTGCGATAGATGCCAGCGTTCACATGCAGCACCGTCCTGCCGCTGGCCGGGGCCAGCCTGATGTCCAGCGATGTTATCGACCGGCATCCTCCGGCCACCAACACGTCCTGACACACACACACACACACACACACACACACAAACGCCACAACAAGACTCATCAACACCACACACACATGGTGGTCCTTGTCCAGCATTTATGCGCACCATGAGCTCGAGCAGCTCCCGCTCGTTCTGTTGGGCTCTCTGGGACAGCACTAGAGTGCCGACGGTCTTGAGATGGCTGAGAGGCCCGCCCGTCTGGTGTGCGCCGCCACTCGCGGCGAAGGCACTGCTGGCCACCAGCATCTGCGCCACCTCCGCTGGGCTGAGGATGGTGTCCAACCGCTGCAGCCGCTCCGCCGTGCGAATGAAGGCGACCAAAGCCCCGGTTCCATATCCCTGCACCTCCTGCAGGTTCGGCATGCGCCACTGGTGGGTGTAGATGAGCGCTCGATGCGCATCGATGAGGCCGCGGGCGCGGGTGAGAGCGGGAAGAATGGACGCGGGATCGGACAAAGAGGCAAGTGGAAGCGACGCCGGCTCCTTCTGCCCTAGAGCTTCCGTCACCTCTGGGGGCAACGTGGTGGGCTCGAAGGCCAAGGTCTTGAGTGTGCCGGCTGCGAGTCGCGGCGGCCTCTTGCCCGTCCTCTCGGCCTGACGCATCGTCTGCTCAATTAGTCCTCGCCGTGCCGTCGCGTGTGATTGAACTGAAGCCGCCACGAGGTCCAGGCACCATCGGGGTACGCCGTCCGGGTAGACATGAATGACAGACACCAGCTCCGTCAGGTGGGCGGCCCACTGTGCGGCTGAGGTGTATGTCAGGGTCTCCCAGAAGGCCCGCTCGCCCCCATCAGCAGCCGAGATGACTAGATGCGTGTACTGGACCGCCACACTCCTCCAGACACGTGTCGGCAGGGCGGCAACCAGATGGAAGGGAACAAACGAAAACATCACTCCCAACACCGCCATGCCCTGACGAACCAACGGACAGAGTCTGACGAGTGGGTGAGCCGGCGGATGCGTGCATGTGTGGGATGTTAGTTACCCGTTGAGCGATGAATGTTACAAAAGCCTTCATGTCGATGTGGCACCTCATGGAGCATGCGGGCCTTTGAGAAGGCGACGAAGGCGAAGGGAGAGAGCATGAGGTTGACGCCTCCCACGAGGGCGCCGTCCTGGCAGACTGGCTCCTCCTCATGGCGACTGGTCGGCTGCTGGGTGCATTTCATTTATTTAACCTCCCTTCACTGCATAGTAACCTGCTTCTCTCATGCTTCTCCATTCGGCTCCCAACCCAAGTCGTGTTTCGTAGAAACCCTGAGCCCTAACGATACCCTTTGAGTCGGCATTAATGGCAAAGATGGGCGGCAAGGCGGACTCCGCCACAGCGACGCCTTCGACGCCTTCGCCACCGCCAACGCCCGAAGAGAGCCTCTCCAGCGAGAGTTTCTTGTCTGCCTTTGACCCGTCGAAGCTCGGCCAGCGGTTCCAGGACTACGGCGATGGTCTCAAGGGCGTCAAGACGGTGGATGATTGGCTCAAGCTGAATGGCAGGGTCTGGGGAGACCCCGTGCTCGGAAGTGACAAGGTCAGGTGACCAAACGTATCAGTGATGAAATCCATGGGACTGGCGGGAGAGGAGAGGAGGACCGACGCATGCAACGCACTTCACTGCTCGTTTTCATCCTTGTTGTCGTGTGTGTGTGTGTGCAGTTCTCAACAGGAGCCATCTTTGGTTTCGTGTCTGGTTTCGCCATCCGCCAGGCCTTCCGCGTGGCGGTCACGATGGCCGGGCTGGGCTACATATCGCTGCAGACACTCGTGAGCACAACACACACAGCCACGGCTGTCACTCATTCTGTGGGCATGCGATGGATGGCTCAGGCGTACAAGGGTTACATATCGATAAACTGGCCCAAGATAGAGAAGGACGTGACGGACGTCCTGGACCTTGACAAAGACGGACAAATCACACACAAAGGTAAGGTAAGGTAGGCAGGCCACACCACACCACACCACCGACTGCCCCGCCCCGTAAACAGCCGCCAAGCCACGACTGACTGACCCATCTGCGCCCTCTCTTGGATTGGCTGCTTCAGACTTCCAGATTGGTGCGATCAAGCTGCAGAAGTTCCTCATGTTTGGCCTACCAAGTACGGATGGATGCACTGACTGCAACCAACAGAGACCAACCAACAGCATCTGTCTGCTTGTCTTGATGCCTTCTCGCGTCGTCCTTCGTTCTGCCTCTCAGGTGCGGCGGGTTTCGGAACTGGTTTCTGGCTGGGCATGCGGGGGAAATAGATGGATGGATGGGACACAGCGAGAGCCAATGCCTGATCGCATTTTGCTCAGTGTTGATGACGATGGTCTGGCTGCGTGACACCGCTGCTCCCGTGACTGCATGTTTTTCAGTGAGGCTATACATTTGGCCGCTGTGTACACTTACTTGGTGGCATGGGTGGGGCTTGGTGGCATGGGCGGGGATGTGTGTGTGTGTGTGTGGCCTTTTTGCTCACAGCTCTTCGTTCCAACCACCGGCTGACGAATGAATTGACTGACACTGACTGGCATGACAATCAGTATTATGAGTGACCTGGGAGGGATCGGCTGTACAGAGTGTCCGTCATCAGCGCATGGACGAAAGTGGCCCGCATCGACCCAACAGTGTGGTGTGGCTGGCAGCATGTCACGCGACAGACAGCACAGGAAGGAAAAGTAACCAGTCTGTCTGTCTGTCTGTCCAGCCTCAGCCTATTAATAGCTAGCTGCAGTCTGTGTGGCGTGCGTGCCGTCTCTCTGTCATCGTCTTGTCTGTCATCTCTGTCATCCCCTTGGTCGGCCCATGTACGATTGGGGGTTGCGGAGGGACATGTTCTGAATGAATGAACCACACACACGACACCACACGACACCACACGACAGTGTGAACTCTCTCTGATAACGAAACAAACATGAGTGTCGGGTTCTCATCTATCTCACTCACCGAGAACATGGGTCTGCCAGGCATCCCCGGGGCCACTGGTCGATCAAGCACAACAACGCAAGCCAGGCCAGGAGGTGAGGTGTCAGGTCAGCACACACCAACCAACAGAGAGGGAGGGAGGGTGAATCGAATCACTCTTGTGCTGTGCTGTGCTTACTGGGCATGGTCGGTGGCCTCATGCCAGGTCGGAGGATCATCGGCATCCCACGACCAAACGCCGCTGCCGGATTCATCGCTGCATCAGACACACGCCACACACCCCACAGGAGAGCGAATGACGTGAATGTTACATGCACCATCTGTTCTGGACAGTGCCTCGCCACTCACGGCCAGTGAGGGCGGCGTATGCGGGCGGAGCCAAACCCTTCTCACGCATCAGATCTGATGAACACACGCCACACAGATTGACTTGACCACCAATGTCTGGAGACAGTCTGTCCCATATCCCTCCCTCTGTGCGCTGCGCGCGTGTGTGGTGTGGCTTCGGCTGACTGTTGTAGTATTCTATCTTGTTGTTGATGTGCCTTCTGCCGTTGGCATGCTGACGACGCCCGGCAGGAGAGCTGTGCGTCAGGTAGATGTCTGTGTGACACACAGACATACAAGAGACAGACAGACAGACAGACACGCGTGAAGTGAATGAGGCAATCAATGAGGCGGTGCTGGCGTGTTGTTGTCGTCTTCTCCCTCTCCTCCAGTCAGTCAGTGCTGCGTGCTGCTTACCGCAGTACTCGCAGTAATACTTCGGCATACAGCAGGCTGTCAGGTGGCAAGTCGCCGCTTCTATCAACGGATGAACGTCGTCAGGCTCTTCCGCGCACGGAGCTCCTCGCCTTTTGCTCTTCTTTCTCGCAGCAGCGGTTTCTGGGAGCACCCTAGTCCTCTAAACCCTGAACCTGATGGCGTGGACTCCATTTGCTCTTCTTTCTCCCGTGAGCTTTAATTCGGTCAAGGCACTCCCAGCAAACGGGAATACAGCTGGACAGGCCGTGCGCATGCCTATGCCTATGCTGCCGCTTTAGGCATCTGGGAGATCTGTCCATCCATTCCGCCCGGGGAACCACATGAACATTGTCAACCGTCCGTCTCTCTCCACTGACAGCATTTGCAGTGTTGATAAACATCGCCTCTCTCTCGGCTGGCTTGGATGGGCTTGGCGTGTGGCTATGTCTGTTCTTGTGAGTTGCCCAGCCAGCAGACGGGGTTGGTCTTCAGCTTCGCAAGGTCGACCTTATGGCCAAACAAATCCCGGATGTTGGCCACGTTGTACTGAATCATCGTAGGCCTGAGGCACCAAGGAAGTGACCACACACATACACACGCATACACACGTGCGGGGCATTGCATTTGTGAGGTTCTTGTACCTCTCGAGGCTGAGTCCCCATGCAATGACCTGCACATCGGGCGGCAGGCCCATGGGCAGCAGCATCTCGGGCCGGAAGATGCCCGAATTGCCCACCTCGACCCACCTGATTAGACAGACCAACACAGACACCACACACACACACATGTCCCTCCCGGACTGACTTGTGCGCGCGTGCGTGTGCAGTGCAGTGCATGTGTGTGGGGGAGGAGGTGGTCATCTCATCACGGTCATCACTCACTTGTTGAGCAGCGGGTGGAATCCGAAGATCTCCATCGACGGCTCGGTGTAGGGATTGTACGCTGGCTTGAACCTATAAACACACACACACACACACGGACACGACACACGGACAATGGGCGAGGGAATGCACGAGGACCCAGCGGTGTTTGTTTCTGCACCGCGCCCTGCTCTGCTTCAGTTACTTACCTGAGGTTTGTGATTCCTATCCGTCTGAAGAACTCCTTGAAGATGCCGATCAGGTGGCCCAGGTTCAGGTTTTTGTCGGCCACCACACCCTCCACCTGAATGAACCACACACAGCGCCGCGCCCAACGACACAACACAACACCGATCCGTCCGTGAGCCAGCCCCTCCATCTCCACCTGCTCTCTCTCTCTGTGTGTGTGCGTGTGTACCTACCTGGTGGAACTCGGCCAGGTGTGTCGCGTCGAGCGTCTCGTTGCGGAACACACGGTCGATCGAAAAGTACTTCTTGGGAGTGAACACGCGGTCCTGCACACACACGCACGCACACAGCCACACAGCTCATGCAGCCAGACAGCCAGACAGGTGTAGACAGTCTGTCTCACTCTTGGCCATACCTTCTGGTACTGCTGCCCCAGCCGATACAGCATTTGGCTCGACACGGCCGTCGTGTGTGTGCGCAGCACGTTCTTCAGGCTCTCCTCCTCTGACCTGACGCACGCCATCACACAACACCACATCCAACGGAACGGCCGACTGTCGGTCCCCTCCCACATATATATGTGTGTGGTGTGATTGATGCCCACCGACCATTCATATCGCCATCCGATGGACCCCTCACCGCCCTCTTCGTGCATCCTCTTGACGCTCTCAAAATAGCTGCCGTCAATCTTCGAACGGTCCGCAGATTGGGGATGCTGACACGCACGCACAGGGAAGGAGAGAGGGGGGGGGATCAGCAGTGGTCGGTCGTCATCCATCCATCCATCCATCCATTCATGAGAGTGTGTGTGTGTGTGGTGTCAGTTGTGATGTGCTCACTGTGAGGAAGAAGGTGTCGTGTGCGTCTCTCGCAGGGTGCTGCTGCGGCTGGAAGAGCGCATCGAAGTTCCAAAACGATGACTCAACCCAGTTGTTGGTCGGCATCTCCTGCACCAAACCATTCACACATGGACGGCGGGCGGGTGAATCGGCGTCCGTCGAATCGCATCAAATCGTGTGTGTGGTGTGGGTGTGTGTGTGGGCTTGCCTCGAATCCCATGAGCAGCAGTATTTGCCTGAACTCCGCCCGCACTTTGAGCAATGGGTGCAGGTGACCGCCGCCCAAATCCTTCCCAGCAGCAAAGAAATTGTACTCTTTGAACTCTGATGCACACACACACACACACACACACAGGAGGACATCCATCCATCCATCCATCGCATTTGCCGACTTCACACCCACCCCACAACCCATTATCTCCCGTCCATGGGCGTGGCGTACCCGTGTTGTTCCATGTGCCTTTGAGGATCATCTCCTGCGTCAGGTCGGCCTCCTTCTTGGCTATCGTCGTCGAAAACTGAGGACCTTTCCGAACCGCATAGGCCGTCACAGACGCCTGTGACACCAACTTCCGTTTCTTAAGATCCTGACGGACAAGCCACACACAAACACAGACACTCACATGCCCCGCACCGCCCCACATGGCCATTCTGTGCACTGTGCATAGCTGTGGTGTGATGTGTGTGCACCTGCAGCTTCTTGTCGTCGAGGTGTGCGGCCAGGTCAGCAGCGTTGCCGCCCCATCTGGCCACCAGCTGCAGCTGCTCCTTGCCCTCGTCCTCGATGTCCCCCACGTTGGCCGTGGCCCTCTTGGTCTCCTTGTTGAGCACCACCCACTTGTTCTGCATGGCCTTGGCGAAGCCGACCTTGGCCACGTCCCGCAGGGCGGCCTGCAGGTCCGCCTGGGTCACGCCCTCGTCACCCGCCGCCTTGACATGGTCGAACACCTGCTTCTCGGGTGTGCCCTTGGCGACGTAGCTCTCGGCCTCCTCAGTGAGCACCCAGCTCTTCTTCTCGAAGGCTTCGGTTTCCACCATCTCGAGCGCCTGCAGCGACTTGAGTGCGCCAACCAGCTTGTTGTGGTCGCATGCTTGCTGCTCGCTCGCCAGCTGCACCGAGTCGTCGATGGAACCACGCTGCTCGAGGTGGTCCAGAACGACGCTTCGCAGATCCGCATCCATTAAACCAACGCAGGCAGATCTTGATAACAGATGTGCGCAGGCCTTGCCAGGAGGCCTCTTAGCAGCTAAGCGGGGCAGTACGGCACAGACGTTCCAGGCGGCTTCAGTCGACGGAAACCTTGAGTCCTAACCCAACCCCCTTCAAGCTGCGCTGGGGTGGCGTCGACGCTGTGCCTGCTTGTATGTGGCCGTCGTTCGCAGCGCATTGCATATCCTCCTGTCTGCTGGATCTGCCCTCTGCGTGCTGCGTGTTTCGTGTCCGGGTTGCATGTTAGGGTGCCTGTTTCATGTTGGACAGACCGACAGGGGACTTGGCCGTCAGGCCACCTAGGGTGCTCCCTGAAACCGCTGCTGCATGGACCGAAGACCATCGTTCGCTCGTCGCCTCCGCTAACCACACTCATCGAACAACAGGACAGTCGCAAGCAGATCTTGCATCGTGTGGCCCTCTTCTATCAAGATCTGTCTTCAATTCGGAAGAGAGTAGATCTGACGTCAATCCATCCATGCGTTCATCATCCTCGTCAGAGCGCCAGTCTCGGATGCGAGTGCACTGGAACAATGTGCGTGAGCCACCCAGTGCACTCATTCAATCATGCCCAATGATTGTCATGCCTCGCTGTTTGTCCTCTCTCAGGTTCTCATGGAGTATCTGTCGGCCATCTTCCCGCTGTCCATCGGCCACTCGCTGCGTCGGCGCCGCTACGCAATTCTTCCCCTTACCGAGCCGTCCCACCTGGCAACCCACGACATCCTCTCTCAGCGGCAAAACTTCACACTCGACAGCGCATCGGCGCCCCAGCCCAGAGGCCACACATGCCCCGGCGGCACGCGATACTTTGCCCTGTTTGTGGACAGCTCGGACCAGGCCAGCTCGGCGGCGGCGCTGCGGAGTGCGGTCGAGGAGATCTTGGAGGCTGGGGGGGTGAGAGCGGACGGCGGGGGCATGGCGTGGTGCACACCAACACAGGTGGGTGGGTGGTTCGATGTAGGCGTGGTGTTCATCTACAATGAATGTGTGTGCGGGTGTGTGGTGTACGCAGAACTATCACATGACGATCTATAACGCCGGCACGCCCGAGGAACCGAGACCCGTCACACAGGCAGAAGAGAGAGAGGAACTGGCGAGAGTCGAGACGCTGCTGCAGTCCTTTGGCCCACTGGTACACAGCAGGACACACAGGGAGGGTGCGGCGCATGGACGAGCCTTGCATTGTCCGTCGCCTGGCTTTCTAGCAATTGGAGCTGGATCGTCTATTGTGGACCCGCACCGGCGCCTTGCTGGCCGTGTGGCACGTCAACGAAGGCAACCTCGACCGCCTTCGAAGGGACCTGGCCCTCACCTACTCACACCAAAGCAACAAACGCGACCATCCCCCTTCGCCCCCAGCGCCCATCCTGCAGCCCCGCACGATCGTCCACACGTCACTGGTGCGCCTGCTCCTGCCGTTGGCCGAGAGCGCCCACCACAACCACGGTGGATCAGCGGCGCTGAGCCGTGAGCAGATGGGGCGGCTGGTGGGTGCGGCTGTGCGTGTGAGTGTGGCATTAAGAGGGATGCGGCTCACCTTCAGACAACTCGGGTACGTCAGGGAGCTGCGCATGTATGAGTGTTCGGGAGAGAAGACCCTGATACCTTTCTCAAAGCCAGCCGGGCGCAACTTGCAGGTGTGGGTAGGTATACAATGGGAGGCATCACACGAGCGAGTGTGTGTGTGTGTGTGTGCATGATGTGGTTTCTTAGTCGTGGTGGGTCGCTTTGCGTGCGTCGCCATGTCTTCGGCTGTGGGTGGGGCTGCTCAGTGCCCTCGCTGGTGGCACAGCACTGGTCCTCCTGGCCCTCAGGCAACCCATATCTAGATTCATCAGGTCAGTGATTGCAAACCGCATCTGGCCGGTGCACCTTCTGTTGGCATATATATCTTTGTATGTGTGTGCGCATCAGCTGGTTAAAGCGTCAGGATGTGATTGTATCGCTAGGCATGGCGCGGCTGGTGCAGTGGCTTCGCAAGCTCCTAACAGTGCCGTCATGGCTGGCGCTGGCAGCGGTGCGGCAGCAGCAGGAGGTTCAGCAGCAAGTGACGCCCATAGGGCTGTGAAGGCAGACACGCTCATAGGAAAGACCGTTTCTATGCACCTCCATGTTTGACTGTACATATATAAGTAAGTCGAATCGCAGTGTGTCGGCCTGGTACGGTGAGTGAGACAAATGTAGTGACTCAACGTGAGTGGCCATTCCATTGCGTGCATGCAGACGTGTTTCTCTCATGCCGGGGCGCTTTCTTGGGTGGAAAAAAAGAAAAATAGACTGGCGAGAGAATTCAAAGCGAGACGGCGAGAATCCGAGACGGCTGGTTTTCGCACCTTTTCCGCGCTTCGTTGTTGCGGATTTTCTTTTCCTTCCAGGCCTTCCAGCTCTTCAGCGATTGGGCATCGCCTCCTCCTGGCAGCTGCTTCGTCTGCTCCATCCCAGGTTTCCCCTCCTGCCGCCTTTGAAATTCCTCAGATGGCTGCTTCGGCCATCCGCCTTTTCCCTTGTGCTGAGAGCACGACACAACCACGGGGCGGCGGCAACGACTCAGGTTGATGTGAAATGGTGCGCCGGGGTTCACATCGACGGGACGATGGCGAGGACGGCACCGGCGAGGGGCGGAATGCAGAGAAGGATTCATTCGAGAAGGATGACCTGCTGGCGGGGTGGCTTGCGGACAAGGACAAGTTGTTGCTAGAGTACGAGAAGCGCCTGATGATGTTCGAAGGGCTTCTCAACTCCCCTGCAGTGGCCATCAATAGTAAGCGGACAAAACTGCATTTGGGCTCTTGGGGCGCACCAATCGTCAGGGCAAGCTGGCTGTGGATGCCTGCGCCCAGATCACACCACCACGAACGCGTTCCCATCTGCAACTGATTCGCCTGGTGAGACAAAAAAAGTGGCGAGAAAAGCGAGACGGCGAGACGGCATGTGGGCTGGCGTCATTGCCCTGCCCGCGGCCGCTCTTCCTCCTGGTGTGCTGCTTCAGGTCAACTGAGGGTGAAGAGTATTGTTTGCAATGATGGCTGTGTGCATTGGCTTTGCAGGACCGTTCCGCACCGCAACAGCCTCCAGCTGCTGCTTTTGAAGGAATGGAAACGCCACCAACACGGCGCTTCAAGAAGGTCAGAGGCATGCGCAATATGAAGCGCATGCATTGCAAATTGTTGGGGTATGACAGGAAACGCGGCCTCCGCGATCATAGCAACCATTGCAACCGCGGGAGTCCGGACCGAAGGGAGATGGACCTGAAGGCCCCACAGCCAACCCACTGATGAATGAATCCTGTGTTTGTATATGTGTGTGTGTGTCTGTGTGATGTGTCTACCTTTTATGCAGACCTGAGGTCAAGGTCGGGGGGTTTGGGCACGCCAAACAGGGCCAAGCTTAATGAAAGCACACAACAAGGACTCATTCATCCATCGATGCATCCATCGATGAATGAATGGATTAATCTCTCTATTGTCAGGTTCAGCGGGACGAGGCGATGGGCGGCGCCATTCTCGCGGCACAGCGTGGCACCTCCCAGGTCGTCGGCGAGACGACCCACGTACGTGACGCAGGCACCCCGTGGAAGCCTCCTCCCTTGATCGGGCAACTTTTAAAACGTCCCAAATGTGCCGAAAAATATGTAAAAACCGTCAAATAGGCGGAAAATATTTAAAACAACGCAAATAAATAAAAAATCGAGGAGAAATTTTATTTCCAGCTTGACCGCGAGCCCCACTAACGGCGCTAACTGGAGTTCGAACCCTGACAGTGGGCACTCATGGCATATGTGTATGCGGTGTGGTTTGTGCAGATCGATCCTTCTCGTCCCGGCCTTGGGGGGGGGGGGGGGCAGGAAATGCTATTTTGAGGCTTTTGAGGCTTGTTTTAGCCATTGAAAACCCGTTTAAACCCTCTTCACTTCGCCACCTCCAAACCAGCCATCTACATTTTAAAACCTCCCAAACCCCTCAAAAAATCGAAGGAGTAATTTTAAAAAATTTCAAATACAAGGGAGGAGCCTTCCATGGGGTGGACGCAAGCCAGGCCACGTAGTACCTACCTATCAATCACGTCACACTCACACACATGCGCTGCGCATCGCATCAGCCACCCGTTCGTTCAGCATATATGTCCTTGGCTGGTTGGTTGGTTGGTTGGTTCATCCCCCCTTCCTTCAGATGATCTCTGCGTCGTCCATGAATACGCAGCGAGACGTGTCCGACGCCGAGGAGGAGGAGGAGGAGGAGGAGGCCAAGCTTAAGGAAAGCCCCTCGCCAACCCCGCCAGCCGTCAAGCATGACCCCTCGGTCGTGCAGCCGCCCGTAGCTGAGGTGGCCAGGGACCAGGCTCGGCCGCGTGACATCCAGGTTCTGTGCAGGGTGGCTATCGTCATCCGGGAGTGTCCGCACTTCAATGTGAGTCAGTGAGACATACACAAAATGTATATCATGACTGACTGACTCGATGGATGGATTGATCAATACACACATGCATGATCGCATCCATGTTTGTTGCATCAATGCCTATATGTGTGTATGTATGCTCTGCACATGCATTCTCTCTCTCTCTTGTTTGTGTCTTTCTTTCTTGGCTGTCCTCTTCTGGCGCCTGCTGTCTGCAGACGTCCAACGAGTGGCTATGGGGCAAGCTGTGGAGGCAGGTCAAGTACGTCGCTGCCATGCGGTGAGTGAGTCAGTGAGTGAGGGAGTGAGGACACACAGGGAGGGAAAGAAAGGCCGAGCAGAGCAGAGCAGCCTCTGCCCTCTAACTAAGTACACTGTGTGTGTATTGATTGGTTTGGTTGATGTGTGTCCCCTGTTCTACCCACCCTTCCACCCCCACCCACCCACCTACCCACCACATATGTACGTACATGCGCGTGCAGCAAGTCTCTGATGCCCAAGTATATCGCGGACGCCATCTCGTCGGTCATCCATGGCTTCTTCCCCGGCCAGAGGGTCTTGGCCGCCTTCTGCGGGGTCGGCGGGCAGACGGCATCGATGGCCGCGGCGGGCCTCGACGTGCGGGCGATCGACATCAACAACACCAACGTCGCACACGCCAAGCACAATGCTAGAGTCCACGGTGGGTGCGCCTGCCTGCACGCTACGCTGATGGGAAATAAGGGTGGATGGATGGATGGATGCATGCATGTATGTATCCATGTCTCTCCCTCCCTCCCTCCCTCCCTGTGCACGTGTGTAGGTGTCGCGCAGCGTGTGTGTGTCGAGCAGGGCGACTTCTTTGACCTGGCGGGCACCGAGGAGCACAAGTTTGCTGCCGTCCACCTCGACGCGCCGTGGGGGCCGGCCTACTGTCGAGAGGGGCCGTATCGGCTTGACGAGATGGGCGAGAAGGCCAACATGGTACGTGCGCCACGCCACGCCACGAGCACAACATAACACACATGCACGGCACGGCACGTAGTCCAGTCCTATTATGCTATGCGTGCCGTATGCTATTATATCATCCTATTGTGTGTGGCGTCTGTGTCTGTCTGTCTGTTGCCTTCCTGCCCGCCTGCCGTTGATTGACTGATTGATTGATTACGTGCACTCAGAGTGCGTTTGAGATCGTTCGAGCCGCGGCGCCTCTGAGCGACTCGCTGATCTTCAAGGGCCCCCGCACCATGTCCATCAGCGATGCGGTCAGCCGGCTGAGCCACAGACAGAGTCATGTCGGTTGCCCTTCCTTCACGTCTGTCTGTCTGTCTGTCTGTGTCAGATCCATTGCTGCTTACATTTTATATTCGACCGTTGGATATCCCAAATCCACACAGTGCGGTGACGACTCCCTGCCACTACAGGTGTTTGTGGGTGGATTGGTCAGCTTAGTCGGGGAATGACGTCAATGTGTGTGGCGCATTGCATTGATCACTCTCAACGTCTGTGCAACCGGCCTGTCAGCAACTCGCTCTTCGGACCACACATGCGCTCATTCCTCTCTTTCTGGGTCGAATACCGAGACATTTATTCAGCCACACAAGCCCGTGCGCACAGGTGCACCGCACACAGACAGAGAGTGCATCGACAAACAAAAGTGCCACACCAAACTCACGCACATCACACAAGATAGTGACACAAACACAAACACACAGACACAGAAGCTCGAGTGTGATGGTGACTGTAACACACACAAAAGCTCGATCGAAGCTGACACACAAGAACAACCGGCCGACTAACCAAACGAACAAGATGCTGACAGCATCTCACAGGCGGCGGACCACTCGCTGCACTGACTGCACACAGGCAGGCAGGCAGGCAGGCAGGCAGACACATGAAACGCCTGTCTGCCGCGGGAGTGTGGAGGCCACACGTGTGTGTGTGTGTGTGAGCATGATAGGTATACGGCTGCTGCCGGTGAGTGTACAGTCGGCAGGGAGTCGTCAGCGGCGCCAAAACCAATCGGCACGACACACACCTGCACTGCACGCGTATGTGCGGTGGGGGCAGTGCGGGCGGCAAGCCCAAAATGAGAAGCGCGGTGATTGTACCTACACCTGCCACGGCAGCCGGCGGGTGGTACTAAAAGCCTACACAGCCACGCAGATATGTATGTGACGCACCCACAATCACATCTGTGTGCGATGGGTGCAGCTCAGCTCAGCCACCAAATAAGTAACACGAACATAAAGCCAGCAGACGTACGGCTGCAGGTAAGTGTCGTGTGGTGCGGTGTGCGGTGTGGTGAGAGATAGTCGTGTTAATCAATTGGTGCGCCGATCAATCGGACAGATACCCATGCGCCACGGCACGAGCCACGAGCCATGCACCAGCTGCACTGCACCAGTCAATAATGGAATTCATTCCATGGAAAAATATCCAACACGCACCGCACGCACGAAGGGCAAATCCGCAGTAAGTGTGTCCATCCACGCCAAGCCATATCACGCACCATCACACGCCGTCAGCCACCACAGACAGGATGGACCAAAAATATTACAATCAGTCAGTCAGCGGTAAGTCGTCGACATGGATGCACGCACACATCTCACGCACTGCCCCCAGCCGCACTCACCCAGGCCCTGACCGACACCATCCACCCACCCATCCATCCATCCACCCACCGGCCGACCTCCCGCCCCCGACAAGCACCACCACACATAGAGTGGTCATAGAGTGAGGTACTGTGCTGCAGCCAACACTAACATCGCCCTTGACGTCGGCCGCATCGGCGTCAGCGTCCGTCTTGTCGCCCAGCCCTGCTCTGGGCGGGTTCACCATATGGCCCACACTCGTCGTTGTCCCATTGGTGGTGGTGGTGGTGTCGCCTGCAGCGGGCTGCAGGGGTGCGCTGGGTGTGGGGTGGGGGATGGGGCCGTCAGGGGCCATGGTGGTGTTGCGGCTGAGTCGGGGACGCCGTTGAGGAGCGAGGGTGTCGAGTGTGCTTCAGGCAGTGCTGGCGTCCACCCACTGATGACTGGTGGCCTTCCTCCTCCCACACGAGTTTTTCGCCGTTGCCCTGGTCGCCCTCCTCTGCCTCCATGGACACCACCACTGAGCCGAGTGACCGGCCAGCGCGCCGCAAACGGCGCTCACCCGACGGCTCCAGCTCGTCCTGCTCGTCCAGCGACACAAACGAACGGGCGCGGGGACCCTTGGCAGCAGCCGGGGGCTAGGGGCCATACTGCGGTGACTCGGTGGTACGGCTCCGACGGGACACTCGCCCTCTCTCTCGGCCAGACTGACTCACCGGTGTGTTAATGGGCCGCGCCATCCATCACTCGGGCCCCCCCATCAAGGCGTTCAAGACCGCTCACTCACTGAGGAGTGCACGGCTTACTAACCTGCAGACAACAAACACAGCGAGACATCCACACGGGTCGGCGGGTGTCTGTCTGTCTGTCTGTCTGAGTCGCGTGCGTCCATGCGTAGGCGCTACCCCGACGAGAAGGGCCCTGAGCCGACGGCCTGTGGTGGCCGGAGAAGGCAGGATGGCGTGATGGCGTGTGTCTGTCGATGGCCACGGTGCCGTCTTTCAAGATCTCGTAGCCAATCGAGGGGGGCCGGGCGTGGGCGGGGTGCCGACGAAGAGCTGTCGTCCAGCCAAACTATGAAAGGCGAGCGTCCCGAAGGACAGCAACACCCATTAAGGCACGCACTCCCGGAGGAATGACTTGCCATTAAGGCACGCACTCCCGAAGGAATGACTTGCCACAGCCGAACGACAGCCAGTCGACCCCCCACCCCTCCAACCTCCTTGACGGGCGGCGGGATCTTGATGGCGGCGCCTGCACGAAGGCCAGCGCGTTTCTTCATGCCAATCCTGAGTTAGTGAGCAACGGACAAAGCACACACATACAGACATACAGACAGACAGATAGAAATCGGTGTGTGGGTGTCTGTGTGTCTGTATGTGTGTGCGCATTTGAGAGTGTTCGCGTGTGTGTACCTGGATGAATAAACATGCCGGGCGGGCCAGCAAACACACACACCACACACACACAGCGGCCTTCAACCTAAGCTGAAGCAGCCAACCGACCAAAGACATCTGTGCATTGCATGTGTGTGTGCGCCAAGTGCATGTATGTATGTACAGCCCTGCCCTGCGTACTCACCGGTCGGTGGAGTGCGTGCTTGGAGGGAGGGAGGGAATAAGTGCGTATCGTTTTCCTTTTGGTATTGCCTTCTTGTGGGCCTTTCCGTTTCCTCCCTCGGCCTTCTTTAGGGGGCCTTTGGCTTTGCTCTTCCTCTCTCTCCTCGTCCTTCCCCCTGTCTGTCGCCAGCCACCGAGTAAAAACTGACTGAATGACGTCAGAAAGAATGACGCACACAGACATGCCAGACGAACGAAATTGAGAGGGACAGGCAGGCGAAAACGAAACCCATCGGCCATGCGGACACGTGTGTGAGTGTGAGGGGCAGAGCCGTCATCAGCCAGGCCATGAAGGGGGAAAGAGACACACATGCATGCAGCCATCACACAGAGGCTTTCGAAGGGCACCACGGCCAGACAGCCGGCCATGGGCCCTCCTTTTCTTGTCTTTTTTTGTGGCGGCCAGACGCACGCAGTAAGCATTATGGTACACGAGGCCCCTCACACAACACACCCACGCCAGCCAGACGACACAGAGACCAATGAAGAGGTAGATAGATAGATAGATGCATGGATGGATGGACGTGTGGCGCATCACGACGACACCTCTCTCTCTCTCCTCGCTCACACGCACCCACCACACGTGGCGACGTACTCAAACACATGCACACATCAATGCACTGCAATGCATCCACACGGCCCGTCCGTTGGGCAACACACTGATAAGTGGATGGGTGGATGGATGGACCAAGACGACCTTGGGCGTGGCGGGGGAGTCGGGATGCACCCGAATGGGCACGGACAGAGACGATGAGGGGGTCGGGTCGCCCTCTGTGCCGTAGACAGTGATCCACAGCTGGTCGTAGAAGTCGCTGCCCCTCTCCATGTACCGGCCGTCGATGGGAATCCACCGGTAATACAGATCCCTCAGAGCCGTGTTCACGTCATTGAGGGCCGCTGGGCCAAACACCAGATACTTGCCGTCATAGCGCAGTGAGTCAGCCTGCAGGACGCTCCCCACGACAGCCCTGTTCGTGTCGTGGAAGAGGCTCCCCCGCCCCAGCAGCTCCACACCAGCACTCCCACTCGTCCGGTTCCCCCCCACCATCCGCACACCCATCTCCACAACCACACCTGTGCACACCGACGGCTGAGCGCTCGACAGAGACACAGCGGGGCCGAGGGCGATGGCGCTGAGATCTGTCACCTCCAGCGTGCCCGCTGCCGACACCGAAATGTCACAAGATGGCTGAACGGCTCGCCTGAAGACCACAGTTGCACTGGTGGCCGCCTTGGGGTGTGCAGTGGGGTTGAGAGTGAGGTGGAGAGAGAGCCGGCCACGGCCATGTTGGTCTGGGGATAGCATGAGTGTGTGGACGCCTGACGAGAGGGCGGGTAGGGGGCCTGATACGATGGCTTTGCGGAAGTAGAGAGGGGGCCCGGTGGTGTCGGTGAAGCTCAGCGGGGGGATGTACTCGATGCTCACACCCTGGCACAGCACACACAGGTCCCCCACGGCGCCCTCGACATAATGGGCCGCCGCCTTCGTGAGCTCTGACAGGGACACATAAACGAGCAGGAGGACCAGAAGGCATGCATCCATGCGACCACAATATGTGTCTGTGTAGTGCTGCCCGCCCACCCGCTCGCTCACCAGTGGTTGTCTCTCGGATGAATTCCTCCGCCCGCTTCTCCATCTCCCTCCAGCTCGGGTATCTCCCACCCGACCCGCTTGTGTCGCAGCAGAAGGCGAAGAAAGCCACCGCCCTCTTGGCCCTGTTGCTGGTTGCGCGGCGGTGGGCGTCGGCGACAGTGGCCGATATGGCGGCCTGATAGCCGCGGCGCAGCTCCTCTGCCGTGATGTCTTTCGCACGACACCTCATGCGCAGGTCGCTGAGGGCCGCCTTGGCGCCTTTGAGGAGGAACCCGGCGTTGACGAGGGACAAGGACAGGCACAGGACGATCCAGGCCACACAGACATAGTCCGTGACGTAGCCGATGGGGATCGAGATGCCCGTGCCGTCCTGCCCCTCGTAGGCCAGGATTGCCTCGAGAGCGGTGGGGGTGAAGAAGGGCGCCGGGGGGTTGGTCCGCACAGGGACGTGGCTGCCCCTCTCCACCTGGTCCGCCTGGCGCGTGCTCTCGAAGTCAATCACTGCCACCTCGGCCGTCGCCAGATCCCGCACCAGCACATTGCGGGCATGCAGGTCCCCATGCAGCCGCCGGCCTCTGTGCAGCGCCAGGAGGCAGCGCACCACATTGGAGGCCATGGCGGCGCAGTACCGCTCGTCTTGGCGCTGGCGGATGGCCTCGGGCATGAAGTCGAGTATAAACCCCTCGACCGTCACCCCTGTCCGTCCAGACAGATGAAAACACAGCGAGAGTGATGCCATGTGGATGATTGTCGGGAACTCACTGACGGACTGACTGACCGCTTCCTATCTTCTCCATGATGACACAGCTGCCCGGAAACTCCTTGACGCAGCGCTTCCCCTCTCCCTCCCCCTCCACCACAGCCACCCTCAGGCACGGCACGTCCAGCACCCCCGCGAAGAGCTGCGGCGTCGTGCGCCTGACGCCTGCAGGCTGGCCCTCCCGCTGCCCAAACCGCCACTGCCGACTGCCGCCCTCCGCCCGCTTCTCCACCTCCATCTGGCCCTGCAGATGGGCGCCCTCCTCCCTCAGGTTGGTCAGCAGCAGCCGAGCCACCGCCTCGCTGCCCTGCTCCCTCTCCACGTGTTTCAGGATGGCGGGGGCCTGCTGCTTGGCGCGCTCATACACAAGGACACCCTCGATAACGCTGAAGTGGCCCGCCCCGTCCCGTCGTTTGTGGCGGCAATGAAACGACACGCAGCCGTTGAGGCGAACGACGGGCGGGACGGCCAGGCTGAGCGGGGCGGGTGCGGGCGATGGGGGTCCGGGCGATGTGTGTGCGGACGAAGGGGGCGAGGTGGGCTCGCTGTCTGACCCAATGGCTGTCGATGGCGGTGGGGGGGACGATGCTTCGCTCGGCGGCGGCAGCTGCGTCTCGACTACGGCAGCCGACTCGACAGCGGTCTGATCCTCCTTCTCCTCTCCATCACCCACACCCTCGCCCTCTGCCGCCTCCCCTGTGGCGTCCTTGCGGTCGTCGGGCTGCTGCTGGTCCTCCTCGCTGGCACCGAGTGGATGCGGGGAGAGTGAGGCGCTTGCGTCCGGTGCAGGTGGTGGGCCTGTTAGCTGCCTCGACGGCTGTCTGTCGACTGGTTCTGCGGCGGCCGTGTCGCCTCGCACTGTCGGCTGACGTGAGGGCTGCTGACGCTGGGGCGATGGCAGTTCAGCATCTGGCTGGTAGCCCATGTCGACATGTCTGCTCGGCGATCGGCTGACAGCACCTTCATCGTAACGCTGCACGTCCTCGCTTGAGGGCTGCGGCCTCGCTGCCTCTGCCCGCAGGCCTTCTTGGGTGCGGCCCCGCGATGGAGCCGACCCTCTGTGTTCATGCTCGTCGGCTGCAGCCACCTCCCCCTCGCCCAGGGTCCCTATCAATCGCCCCTCAATCGTCTCATCCATGGCAGCTCTCCTCCGACTATCATCAAAACTATCGGCCCCGTCTGGACCGAAGGATACGTGATGCGCTGCTGATGCCGACACGGGCAGAGAGGACGGTCCACGTAACGGCACACCTAGTGGCTGCGCATCCTCTGGCTGGTAGCTCGTCTCAGCGCGCCTCGATGGTGATCGGGGCGACACATGCTCCCTCCGTACTACTTCATCCCGTCCGTCAGAGGTGATGTCTTCTTGTGTGCGGGCTCGGGACGCCGCAGCCGACCTGTCGTGTGCGGGCTCGGGACGCCGCAGCCGACCTGTCGTAGTCACTGTCGAAGCCTCGCTGCCCCCGCGGGTCCCGCTCTGTGTGAGCCTCGAAGCCGTCCGTTGTGGACATATCCTGACCAACGGCCCTCTGCCTCGCGGCTGACGGCGACACGGGCATGGAAGATGGCGCACGTGACGGTCCACGCGATGGTTGTGCGTCGTCTGGCCGGTGGTCCATGTCAGGGTGCCTCCTCGGTGACGGGCTGCAAGGCGACAGGCCGTCGTGTCGGCTGTCCTCCCTTGTTGCATCCTCTCTGGTAGCGGTGCGCGCAGCTGCAGCTGGAGCTCCATCCCCGTCGTGGTGTGTAGTTGGCACAACGGGTACCGACTGCACGACAGCAACAAACCAAGACAAGGACAGACAGATGGGATTGCGTCAGGCCTGCCGTGAGTGAGGATGCTCGTATGGATGGATGGATGGATGGATGGGTGGAGGTAATCCCGTCAGCGTACCTGTCGTAGAAACGCGGCCGTCTTCGGCAGGATGCCGGCCCATGTGAGTGCATCTGCCGCCCCTCTAAGGAAACTCCCTCTCGTCCTCTCAAACGCCCCCGCCCGGTCCCTATGCAACGTCCATCGAATGGACGGCGGCCTGCAGCCACGAAATGCACACATGCCGCGCGACATTCTGCCTTGGGGATTCGCCGCTCACCTTCGGCTATCAGTGGCCTCCATGGTGTGCTAATCTCAAATATCCTTTCAGCTCTCCTCCTGCAACGACTCTTCGTCTTGGCTCACGAGGCGAACAACTCTTCTCCTTTGCATGCGCAGCGAGGGGGGGGGGGTGCGAGCTTGATAGCTTGCGAATGGACGCGNGCGAGCTTGATAGCTTGCGAATGGACGCGAGCTTAGCTTACGAAGGGAGATCTCTCCCTCCTGCTGCCCGGCAGAGCGCCTGTGCCCCTCCTGCCGCCAGCCTGCTGCAAGAGGGGTACGGTCGTGCTGGTCACACGGAGATGTAATCATGAGAAGCTACAAACTGCGGTGTTTGCCCGAGTGACGTTTTGCCCGAGAGATCCGTGACAGGTCTCACCTGACCATGGTGTGCCGCGGCGTGCATTCTGCGAGCATCGAGGAGGGGCGCCGAGAGCATTGATGGATCTGCCTGAGCCAATGGGGGAACGAGCGAGTGCCGTTTTAGAGGAGCGATGAGTCGTCAAGCCGAAATCCTGGTGATGTGGTGGATATCGCTGGTTGCACAGAAGGCCCTCGGCCAATCGGTGAGTGACAAGGAGCACACACGTCACTGCTTCAGACGTCTGTTTTGTCTGAATGTGCGCCCAGGCGCGTGTGATATCTCGGTCACATCAAGAGGTGCATGGAGGCGCCGCTTCGCCCATCCAGGGCATCGACGTCTTGGCCGCCGCACTCCCAGTCCATCGCGGGGGTCAACATCATGGAGTGGACGGGGCACGCCATCAGGTTGGTGGATGCCATGTGTGTCTGAATGGCCGTGGATGGTGGCTGCTTGGTTGGTTTATGTCAGGTTTCAGGCGCCTGTGGATGCTGCCCCGGTCGTGTTGAGTCAGCTGGAGTATCTGCCGTGCCAACACTGCTCCAACGACACACTCTCTGTATCATGCAGCAAACGGGTTAGGGAGCCGCCGTGGATCCATATGTCCATCTGCCCTCCCTGTCTGTTCACAATCTGCCTGTCTGGTTGGTCGATCAGAGTGGTGCATCGACCGAGGGCCACTATGCTGCCAGCATCGGCATGGCCGTCACGCCCGTGGCCACCTCGTCCACCCTGCTGCTGCGGGCCACACACGACTGGTGGGAGGTGGAAGAGGACACCACCTCGCCCATCCGGTCGCTATACGTCCACATTCAACAAGATAGCGCCAGTGGACCGACCGTTTTATGCGCTGCGCTCACTTTTTTGTCGATTGCTTGATTGGTTCATTGCTGCAGGGGACGGGAGGAGAGACCGATGTGGGCGTTCATCCGGAGGCGTATAAGCGGAAATACACTGACATGTAAGCTCACACCGGTCAATGTCAATGGCAATCATCCTTCCTGAAGGAATTGCACAGCAGGAAGGTGCGCACTTCTCAACGCTGTCGGTCTGTCAGTCAGTCTGTCTGTCTGTCTGTCTGTGTCAGGTCCATCGCTGCTCACATTTTATATCCGACCGTTTGATCTTTCAAATCCACACAGCGCGGCGACGAGCTAAGTGAGACTGACTGGTGAAGAGACCTTGACAGACGTGTCAGACAGGGGGATACGCAGCACATGGCACACGCGTATCTCCCTGCCACTATATAGCACCAGACGGACAGACAGACAAAGGGAGACAGAGAGAGACAAACAGACAGGTGTTTGTGGGTGGATTGGTTAGCTTAGCCGGGGAATGACGTTTATGTCTGTGGTGCATTGCATTGATCACTCTCAACGTCTGTGCAAACATCTCAACGTCATTTCCGTGTGCTGCCGACCTGTCAGCAACTCACTCTTTTGGAGCACACTAGCCGGCCGGCAGGCAACCACACCCACGCATGCGTTCATTTGTCTCTCTCTGGGCAAAATGTGTCAGATATGTGTGCAGCTCCATACCGAGACCGAGACATTCAGACACATTTCATCCAAAGACACGGCACGACACGATCCAGAAAGCTCTATTCTCGACAGCAGTCCATTTGTCCAGCCAAAATTACTGCTATTCTATCAAAAAGTGGGTGTGTCGCACACAAGACCATGCATAACTAGTCATGCAGTGCACGCCAATACATACCGAAAAATATATATGGATGGAGATGAGATGAGATGAGATGGGATTAGTTCTACCCCACACCTGTGGATGGGGACAGAAATCACTGCAAAGTTCGCCAAGTAGCAAAGGGCAGACAGCCACAGCAGCATGCATGCCTGCAGGTAGCAGTGAGAGAGAGCACCCGCTATGTATCCATATGCACATCCACGCAGTGTGTATGTCCACCCCGCCCTTTGTGCATCAATGCAACAACGCAGGCACACTACCTACTCACACCCTCACATACCCACATGCATACTTCACTCTCACATGCACGGTGTGCTGTGTGCCGCTCTGCATGGACGTCACACGTACGCGGGAAAATCCGACAAGAAAGGACTAATACGAGCGAAAAAGGGGTGCACGTCTCGTGCTGCAAAGAGACAATTGCACAGAGACCAGAGCCATCACACACGCACGGCCAGACCAATACAATTCATGCCCACCCCCAGCCACCACACAGCTAGCTACCTAATTTCCAAGCTGCCTTTTGCAGTTACTCAATTGGAACCCAAAAGCCCATCGCCGCCACTGCCCTGCTCCAGACGAGCAATGCGACCCATCAGGGACCCAATCGTCTTGGCCATGGCGTCGTCATTCTTGGTCAGAGCTTCTTTCTCGTTGATGAGGTCTTGAATGACGGCCATCTGTGTGTAGAGCAGCTGCGTGAGGTCGATGGTCATCTCCTGAGCAGCCTCAGCCTGTCCCCCTGCTGCAGCGGCCTCGCTGTCGTCATCCTCCTCATCAGCAGCTTGGTGCACGTGTGGCACGAATGTCTTCACTGCCGATGGGAGGAGCCTTTGCACATCAGCACTGGCCAAGCCTAGTCGGGCGTCTCGGTCAGTGCGCACCCGCAGTTGCTTGAAGGCATCGTACGCCGCCGACCGGTCGCTGTCGGCCCACTCAGCCAGGGAAGAGGACGGCTGGTCACTGCTGCGGACCTCGAATGCCCCCGCAATCGCCCGTCGTGTGTCGACCAGCGAGGCGCAGGAGCATTCGTCTGCTTCCAGTTTGGGGGCCCGCAGCTCACGTCTCGCAGTGACGTCCCGATGAGAGTGCACGTCCTTTCCGGACGCCAAATCCTTTGACGCAATGATGTCACCATACTCTAGAGCCATGCCTGTTGGTACGCTGCCAGCCACGATCCTAACCGCCTTGATGTCTTGCGCCTGAAGTGTATATCCATGCACCTCAAGTGCGGCGGGGGTGGGCCCAACTCCGCCTGCACGCAGATACAAGCCACCTCAGAAAGAAAGTAGGTGGTCTGAATCTTGTAACAGAGCGCACCGTAGACGCGAAGGTCACCCCACACAGACATGTCCTTATGCGCAGTCAAGCTGTCATAAGCCCTCACCTTCTTGGCAGTGACTTCTGCTCGATGAGCAAAGAGACAAGCAGACAGCATCCGGTGTGTGTCGTCCTTTGCTGAAGAATGTCCTTGCCACACGGTTTACCGTTGCCTGCTATGACGTCCTGAACAAACAAATGTGACCAGTCAACAGCCAGCAAGTCAGTGCACTCGCTGGTGCGTACATGCATGTCTGTTTCTGTTTTTGCTAACGAACCCGTCGAGCTTTCACATTCCCCCCAGCCCAGATAAGGTCCTCCGCGAAGATGTCCCCACTGCCGAGCTGAGGACCCCGACATGTGTACAGTACGTATTGGCGGTTGAAGACAGAATCGTGTGTGCGCCCCGACGGCCACTTGCCTGGTTTGTCACTTCGGTGCCGTCGGGAAGAAACGCCCGTCCACGTGCGTCGGCGTCGACGACAAGCCACGGCTCTCGGATCTGAGCGGGGTTGAGGATTGCCTGGTTGGTGCATAGACAGACATAGAACCATGCAGGCCGCCGTCACGCCACCTTTGCTGTTGTGTTACCGACCACAGCATCAGGATTGTCGATGAGCATCCGGATCACGTCGAGACCGATGCCTTGCACCCCAACATGGACGTAGCCGAGACAGAGAAGGACGACGAAGAGAGCAACCATGGCTTCGAAATGGGTGAGCCGCCAAGCTTACAGTGTGCCGCAGCCGTTAACGCAGTAACGGTTGCACAGTTACGCGAAAGCGCTCTTCCCTGCCTGTCTCGCTCGAATCTTGGAAAAACGTTGGGCTCATGCTCGCGTCCCTAGCTTGCCTGCTACTCCCTCTCTCCCCCCGCCTATCTCTCTAACGGCTCAGGCAGTGTCTTTGCTTCCATGGCGTTCTTATGCATCTGGTCAGACAAGGGTGTCTGGCAGAGCACTTTTTCAAGCACGTAAGCTCCTCTTTGTCCCTGGTTGTCGCCTTTTCAATCATTCCTTTCCCGTGTCATTCCCACGCTTGCATCGTTCCTTTGCTCCTCCTCTGCGTGAGTGCCGGTGTGACCTTGACTCGCTCGTGTGCATGGCATCATACGTGCCAGCGCAGTCATATATGGAAGTGCTTCAGCATGGACAAGATTGGCTGCATCGGCTTATCCAGCCGCTGCCAGCCTTTCTGCCATACTTAGCACTCCCTGCACACCAGCGGCGTGTGCTTTTTCTCTTCCGTACCGGTTGTCATCCGTCTGCTCTCATGGATGGCCGATTGATCGACTGTCCGCGAGAATATAGATCATGTGCTTACTGCTCGCATCGTAATGATCTGTTGGTTTCGGTCCGTGATGTCGGTGGTCATAGTGTGCCTCGTCCTCCAGTAGAGGATGAGACACACATACTTGTCTCGTGTCCTCTGTATTCTACATTGCGTCACGCACTTTTCTCCACCATTCATAAGTATGGTATTACCGCCCCTGATGCTTGTAACTACAAGCGATGGAGCAAGGCGCACCCTATAGTTTTCACTACCTCTCTGCTGCAGTCAGATAAGCTACCGCTCCTTTCAGCAGTTGCAGACTTCCTCCTAGCTGCACACAAGGAGCGGGCTCGCTGGCTTGCACTCAATCCATCTCTCCCACCCAGTCAGTTTGATGGTGAGTATGACTTCATATATGAGTTGCATGAGATGGAGCAGTGGGTGCTTGACGCTGACTTGTCAGACTAGCACCCACTGCTCCATGGGAAGGGCAGATAGGCCTTGTGCATGCATTCTGCATGTCCCTGTTGCCTGTTTGGTGTGTGCTGTGGACAGAGAAGATGCCTGGTTGCGCCGGAAGGTAGCGCCGGGCTTAGGGACAGGTGTCTCGTCAAACCCTTAACCAACCAACCAACCAGGATCTGTCAGACTAGCACCCACTGCTCCATGGGAAGGGCAGATAGGCCTTGTGCATGCATTCTGCATGTGCCTGTTGCCTGTTTGGTGTGTGCTGTGGACAGAGAAGATGCCTGGTTGCGCCGGAAGGTAGCGCCGGGCTTAGGGACAGGTGTCTCGTCAAACCCTTAACCAACCAACCAGGATCGCAGACCTCTTCGAGCTCGCAAAGAAGCGAGAGATTCCCCTCCTTTTCCTGCCCTTCTCCACTGTGGGTGAGCTCCTTTCAGCATGAAACACGCATCTGAGGGCAAAACAGCCTCGCTATCCATCGTCAGGCTGCTGCGAGACTGCTGCGAGGCCGGCGTCTGTCGCTGCAGGCTATGCAGCGAGTGAGGAGGAGCATGGTGAGCCGAAGGATGGGGGGGTTGTGTGGGTGGATGCGTGCATGTGCTTTGGTGTGGCTGCAGCTGGATAAGTTGTCGCTCCACGGCATCACTTCGTCTCTGATCCGTCGCGAACCATCAGGCCAGCATCTGATGCACACATGGCACACACACGGGGACCAAAGAAACCATGATTGTGTGTCTGTCCCTGCCTGATCCACATGCAGCTGTGGCGATGAGTCCTGTGGTTGGCACGCAGGGGCGTCCTGAGCCTCGATGAGATGATACCCATCGACAGCAGCAATAACGACGCCAAAGTCAGCAAGCACCCAACCCAACAACACACACGCACACGTGCCCACGATAAATATACGCGCACACACTTGTCTGTTTGTATTTAGGTCGACGCGCCGTCTTTCCCGCCGTCGGCCTTGCTCTCTCCCTGGCAACGAGGCATACTCCCTCTGCCCATCTGGGCTGTCCATCGTCGTGAGCAAGACCTCCAGTCCTCTCAGGGAAGCGGCGTTGCTGTGCCGCTGTCGTCGATGAACCACACATCGCAATCGGCGGCAGCCGGGAGACAAAGAGCCACTTGCAGGCGGTGCCGGGCAGCATCGCCAGCATGGCGGCCATGTCGATCATTAAGGAGGCGAGCGAGACTCCTCAGGCGCCGGATGTGCCACTTGCTGGACCCATCTCTGCATCGACGCCCACCCCCTCTGACTCTACCAACGCTCGGATGGTCGATGGTGAAGCCACGGGCAGCACGGGCAATACTCATGCTGTTGGAATGCCCTCGCCGGCCGACCGCCCTCCTCCGCCGCCACCATCACCACCACCACCACCACCACCGCCCGATGCCACTCAGGCGACCCGGATGCCGATGGTGGTGCAGCGACAATGGGACGGACGGGTGCCCATCTTCCTCACCGCGCAGCCTCCGCGTCCCCGTCCCCCTCCCCCGCCCCTCATCGCGAAGCCGCCAGCGGGACAGGTTCGCACCAGACGCAGATTCACGCACCAGAGGCCTCAGTTGCATGTCCCCAGCGTTGAGCCGCTATCCCCGTCAACAGTAGCGGCCGCTGCACGCACTGGGCGACCTCCCCGCCAAGCTGAAGCACCACCGCCGCAGCCGTCTCAGGAAACCTCTGAGGGGTCAGGCCAGTCCCTCTCTGCACATGGGCATGGCCGGGAGGCGTCGCCAGAGGAGGAGCCTGCTGTCGAGCCCTCAACCAGTCCCTCGCGTGCCGAGGTCGACCGTCGTGGTGTGGAGGGGATGAGCATAGGGGAGAAGGCGTCGAGTGGGACCGGGGCGATTGCTGCTGTGGCGGCCTACGTACCGTGCCCCGCACACCCACCGCCGCCTCCCCCGCGACCTTCACCTGCAGCGATGTCGACCACTCGCTGTACTCGTCCCCACCGCACCATCCGGGTGCCCGTGGTGGTGATGGATCTGTCTGTGCCTCCACCCCCCGCCCATCCCTTAAGTGTCCGACCAACGTAAGGGAGCCAAACAGACGGACTGAGCCGGGTGGCGTGTTTGTGTTGGTGTGTTGGTGTGTCGTGCCTCAGGGCGTCTTGGTCAGCGGCAGCATGGGAAAGAGAGCACCACCTGCTTGGCCAGATGCGCCGGGAGAAGGAAGAGCTGATGCGACAGCTGCAAGAGGCGAAACGAAAGTGAGTCAGCAATCCGACCACAGACAGACACATGTCTTTCTTTTGCCACAGGCTTGCTTCTGCGGCGGATGATGCCGAGAATATCAAGTGCGCTGTGTGCTTGGACAACCGCAGGAAAGTCGTGCTCATACCATGCGTAGGCACACACACACACACACACACGCACAGAGAGAGAGAGAGAGAGAGAGCGAGAGAGAGAGAGAGAGGTCCATGCCTGCAACAAATGAATGCCTCTCTTTGTCGGTCGATGTGGGCAGCACCACTTACGCCTGTCTGCTGAGTGTGCCGGTGAGTTGATGTGGGGCCCCCCGGCCGAGCGGCTGTGCCCCATATGCAGACAGCCAATCACCAAGACAGAACAGGTGTTCGTCTGACGACACGTGGAGGGGAGGGGAGGGAGGGGAGGGGAGGGGAGGGGAGAGAGGATGGGGTAAGTGGGTTTGTCGTCGACTGTTGGCTAGCTAGTGTGTGCGTGTGTGGGTCGAGGGGCCTGCGTGACTGTGGCTGTAGTGACGTTTCTCTCGCAGTGCCATCTCCAGGTGCCTCCCTGCTTGCTGATGGCGGCATGTTCGCATTGAGGAGGGTATCAGGCAGACGCAGGCAGTGCTGGGGCCATGTGTCGTGTGGCTGTATGTGCTTAGCTGTATTAGCTCTCTAGGGACTGGTTCGGTTAAGTAGATGCATGAAACGGGCGACGAAGTTCGTCTAAGCATCAGTTCGTTCCAAGCAAATGAAGCGAAACAATACATGCCGAAACAATGGACAGCGCTCGTTGACTGCGAAAACATGTCGCACACTGCAAACAAGCGCGAGACATGCAACATGACACACACACTTAGGACCCAGGTCCAGCCAGCCACCTTACAGCCCCGCAGCGGGGCTGGTGTGTGGCCTGTGTGGCCCGCGGCTGACGAAGTCCTCCGGAAACGCGCTGGCCCTCCGTGGCCCTCTGGCGGCCGCCGCGCGCTGCGCACGACTCGCCACTTGAAACGCGTTGTGCTTCATCAGCTCGACGGACAGGAGCTGGCTCCAGTGGTTGACGATGCTCTCTCGGAAGGCTGTGTCCTCCTCCATGGGAATGGATGTGGGGCGAGGCTTTCGTTTGGCGAGCATCTTGAGAAAATCCATGGTCTTGTCTCCCCATCTGCCGAATGTCTCCGCAGCGAGGGGCACGAAGCGGAAGCCGGCTGCTTGCGTGATTGGTCCATACTTGTCGATCTTGTCTTTCTCCGCAAGCTGAGCCGCCTTGCCACCTGGGAGCTGTGCACCACGCCGGTTGACTGTTCGGTGGAAGGGGATGGGGGAGTTGTCAGGGCGGCAGGGGTGGGCGGCGGTGACGTCGAGCAGGTAGTCACTGCCGTCGATCACACAGTAGATGTCCATGCGCTGGTTGTTGGGGTTGTCGTCAGGCGGGGTGATGCCGAGGCTGTGCAGAGACACCTCCACATTGGAGGGAACATCTGCTTCAGCCAGGATGCGAACAAACAAGTTGCGCATGTTGTTGTGTCTCGTGACTCGCTCACGGCCGGTGTGACACACGTAGAAGTGATCGCCAAACTTGTCCACCTCCCCGCCGCAGATGCATCGCTGTGAGATGGTTGCGTGCGGGAGGGCAATGCCGAGACACCCGGCGACGGCGTGGCGATACTGGAAGTTGTTCAGTGTCTTGCTATCGCTGGAAGGGATTGCTGACAGCCAGCCAGACGAAAGAGGCCCTTGGCAGCTCAGAAGACGGGCGCGGGCTCTGCTGTCGGGGGGAAGGGAGTTGAAGAGCTCGTTGAAGCGGAACTTGTGCAGTTGATCGGTCAGGCGCTGCTGTAGCCGAACCTGCGGTCTCGAGAGAAAGTCTTGGAGGGAGGGGAGGGAGAAGGAGGGGCCGACCACCTCAGAGATGGCAGCCTATACGCGGACATTCATCTATTTGTTGTGGTGGTCTTGTACAGTGGACAGTCCATGTGTGTCCTTCGTGTCTATGCAATGAAATGAGCTTTCATTTATTAATCTATAGATGCACACCTTACTGCCAAAGATTAGCTAGGTTACACCTCAACATGAGCCAAACACACAACTGCCTGCCTGTCTTCGGGCCTCTCATTTACTGCAGCGAATAAGGTAGATCGTCGCTCTCGATGACTCCCTTCTCCACGAGCGTGTCTGAGAGCGTAGACAGGTTGTCTGCGGTATTGGTCAGCTTGTCGCACAACTCATTCAGCCTGTCCGCCAGCGCCGTCATCTCACTTTCGCTCGTATAGTAATACTTATCACGCCTGCGTCCCACCACCGTGTCCAAAATGGTCTCCCTCAGCTCGTGTGCCTCATCCAATTTCTCCGTCATCTCACGCAGCTCCTTCACTTCGTGCTTGGTCAAGTTGGTGTCATACAGCTCGTTGACTTGCTCCGTCAGTCGCTTCACCTCCTTTCGTAGGTCGTCATTGAACCAGCACGGGTGGACTGTGCGGCTGATTGGCCTCATTCGGGTGAGCAGCGGAGGATCCGAAATCGCCTTTTGGCTCGCCAAAAAAGGCCAACGATGAGCTGACACCGCCTTGCCAAGATGAATGGCCTTCCCGTGACGCACTTCAGTGAGGGACGCCCAGATTTGTCCGTCATGTCGGCCTCCCACCCTCTCCCCCAACACGCAGCGAGTGAAGAGGAGGCAGTGGTTCTTTGGGACAGCTTCGGAGAATATATGCCCTCAACTAGGAAATGGCAATCCAGGCGATGAAAATGGAGTTCGAGAAGGCTGCCGGTGAGCCAAATGCATGAACGGGCTGAAGGAATAGCACGCAGGCAGCATAAATCTGATTGATACACCTTTCATGTCCGCACTGCACCCGCGCGTGCATGCAAATTACCCGGCGGCCTTCGAAGAATTCGAATCGCATCTTGTTTATGAGCCGACAGTGGTGGATGATGGAGAGACAATCCAAGTGCGGGAAGTGCTGATTGGCAGTCGTTTTTCGCCTGAGCCATTTAAGCGGTCACTATGGCGCGTCATCCGCACCGTCATGCTGCAAGTTTTGTACGCATTTCTCTTGGCCTTACCAATGGTGGGCTTTCCTAAAAAGCGAAGAAGGAAGAGAAGCTGTTCAAATCTGTCTCGCACGCATGCAGGTGGTTTGGCCGCTTGCCTTTTGGCGCACGTGCGAATCCAAAACGACACCCCTAGTGATAGCTGTGGACTACGCAAGGACTACGGCGACCTCCTTGTGCGTCATCGTATACTACCTGGCAATCGTTGAGGGATACCGTTGCGAGAGATTGTTTAGCCGGTTCTGCAAATCGTGGCATTACTTTCTCGTACCTACAGTCGTCAGCGTTGCCTTACCCCACCTCTTTGTCCAGCCTCGTCTTTGGCCCTATGCTGTGATCCTTCTAACGTAAGTGAGCGAGACACATAGGCACCTCGAGAGCAAGCCTGAAGACACATGATTGCTTATTTTCTCATGTGTCTCTTACAGGTTAGAGTATATAGGCTACATGGTCTTACTCCCATTTGGGCTCTTTCAACAAGTGGCGCGGGATACGCCAGCCGTGAAGAGACGATGGCTGTACACCCTTCAGATGACAATTGTTCCCATTGTTTCGCTGACGGCTGCCTTTTTATGGAGTGCCATCTTCCTCCCGAGAGGCGAGAGGGCGGCGACCGATGGCGAGAGGGCCCTAGTGGCCTTCACATGTCTCTTCTGCTCCTTTCCTTTGGTGGCCCTGGCAAACGGGATGGTACAACTTTTAAAGCATCTATACGTTCGATCTGTCTGTCTCTCTGAGATCTCTTGTCGTTCCACGGTTGCTTTCTATAGGTACGCAAGATGAGAGATGGGCCGCCGCTGTACAATCATGCTGTAATCTATTATCTGGTTTTGGGATCCCTTATCATTCCCCGTCTGCTACAGGTCAGCATACAGCGAAAAAATGGCACACAACCTGGCATCGATCGGCTTGTGTGTTTCTGCTGTGTGTCGTCTGTCTGTCCTGTCGTTCGTTGCCTGATGCAACAGGCTGAAATGACCTTCCTCAGAAACAAGGTCATGTCGTCTTTGCTGTTCGCCCTCTACGATCTCGTGGGTGACCTGGCGGTGCCCTATACCGATATGCTCCAAGTCAATGTCACCCGGTGGCTCACGAGGCCACGTAACGACCGATCGGCCAAGCCGGCACAGAAGATAGGCTGTCCAAGCTCCGAGTGCGAAAGCCATACTGAGCATATCGAGACCATGACATCGAGCAACAAGGGGACAGCAGCATCGATTAGTCGTCTCAGCAGTGGGGAGCCGAGGCACTCGTCGAGCGAGATCCATCAGAGCGTGATGCGGATGGGCCGGCGAATGCGGTCAGCTTCCACTAGTCTGTCATCCATAAAGTCGACCCTCGACCTCCAGAGTAATTTCATCGCATTCGACTTTCGTCCGAGGTATCTTCGTGCGTTGAGGGACCAACAGTACGCCTACAACCAGGCCGAGAGCCTGATTCTGATCTTCATCAATCTCTCACTTATATCGATGGAGCAGCTGCTGCATCCCTTCTCGCTGCCCCGGCTGCTCGAGAGGCTGGGCGGGCTGGGTGTCCTCGTCGCAATCGAGATGGCATGCGAGGTCATCTTGTTCATGGTGGGTCGGCTGGGCAAGCTAGTGAGAGACAAGGGAGGGAGACACGACGATACATAGCGGCGAGATATTACCATAATGGACGCGACAGTATGTCTAATGTGTGTCTGGTTGGTGCGTGTAGGTAACGGTGCGGCTGCACAATCTGCCCATGCTCCGGAGTGAGAATGAGCCCGGAGTCCTGACATTCAAGCTGATGACCCTGTTCGTCGCATCTACCGCGTTCGCGTCCACCTTCTCACACTGGATCGCCATGTCTCTGCTGCGTGATCTGCAACCTGCCGTCTACGGAGATGTGAAGCTGCTAGAGTTTTGTCCACACTCGGCTTATACGCATATACCACAAATGACATAGATCCTACCTAAGGCAATGCGACGGACGGTCATGTGCTTTGATTGTCTCACATATGGGTGGGTGGCGTCAGAGGTGTGTGTTCCGGGATCTGCTGTGGGTGAAAGAGACATGATAACTCTCCCAGGTCTTGGCAGGTGATTTTTTATGAGAGCATCCGTCGACGACGGATGCATGTGCTGCATGGATGCAGCAGATAAGGGATGAGATTGACATGGAGAGCTTGTGTGTCTATCTTTTTGTGTCTATGCGTGTATGTGAGGAGACGCGATGGGTGTGGTGTACGTATACATTCGATCAATCATTCGCCCGCTACTCATCTTGTAATCATTCATATATATATCGATGGACCGGCTGCTGATCGCCTCGCTGCCGCGGCCCGCAGCACGTCAGCAGAGTCACGCGCACGGGATGGACAGTCATTCTCTCATGGGTCTTCACTGCATTGCATTGTGTGTGCAGTCCCTATGCTTACCCATCATCATCGTACGATGGTACAGCTGCCGTGCCTCCCCACCTCACCTGCCGGCAACGGCAGTGCCGGTGCCGGTCGTAAGCCATCGCAAGAAGAGAAGAAGGAGACACAGTTGGTTTTGATGCAGTATACGCGGTCGGCCTGTCCCATCGTCTGCTGCCCGACCCCCTGCCGGCCGGGGGCAGGGCACTCCCACGCCGACCCATACACATCGGTACATTGACATTTGCACACAGAGAGGGGCACGTGCAGGACCTGTTTGGCATCATGGGTGTGTCATGTGGTGTATCTCAGCGGCTCGCCGCCCTTCGTCCCCATGGCGATTGTTCAGCCGTCGGCCAGTCCCTCTGCATTGCCACCTCGACCTCAGCGTCCCCCTCCAACCGCATCTGTCGGCCTACTCAACCCATTTCTGCGTCAGAATCCCGATCGGCCATCAGCATCGAGCAACCGCAATAACGGCAGCACCGGTGGCCATCACGTGCCAATGCCGCCCCCCTTCCGCCCTCCCGCCGCCACTCTGGCTGCCACTCCACTCTCCCAATCGTCCAGCACAGGCGGACGAGAGAGCACAGTAAGGAGGGGCAATGCCACTGCTGCTGCTGCTGCTGGTGTTCGGCGGGTGACAGCGAGCGTCTGGTGGACCAGCTCTGTCGGCAGCTGGAGCAGCAAGGCCGCGAGGCCAAACAGAAGGAGAACGCGCTGATACGGCAGCTGCAAGAGATACAATGAAAGTCAGCCACTCGACACACAAGAAGGGGGGCGAGCCACGACATCCATATGTTTTGTGTATGCTGTTTCCTCTGCACGCTTGCTCAGGCGACCAGCACCCAACAGCACCAACAGCCCAGCTCACCACCATCGAGCAACAGCGCCCCTTTGGCTACAAGGGACGAGGGCGAACATTTGAAGTGCGATGTGTGCATGGACAAGGACAAGAGCATTCCTCTCATCCCATGTGTAAGCTCACCCACATGCACGTGATGCCTCCATGTGTCCCTTCCGTTTGGTGTCTACCATGTGTGTGTGCAGCGCCATTTGTGTCTGTGTGGTGAGTGTGCCGGTCGGCTGATGAGCGGCCCTTCGGCAAAGCGGCTGTGCCCGAGATGCAGACAGCGCATCACAGACACACAGCAGGTATACTTGTGAATGGGCAGAGGGCATGTGTGTGGTGGCTGCTGTGAGATGCGCCATGTCGGAATGGGGAGACCGATACAATGCATACGTGTGTTGAGAGATAAATGTATATATATGTGAACGGCACCACTCGAGTCCACCAGCTCTGTTCTGCATTCATGCGACCGGACAGACTCATTGAATGCACGGACAGCCAGACAGTCACGCACACCATGAATGCATCCGCGACTTTGGACATTCATGCATTCATGTATGCATATAAAAGAAAAGACGACATCCATCCATTCCATTTCATGAATGCGATCAGCCACTTTACCCAATCAAGACGGTCAGCCCCCCTCCACCACACACATACACACACACACATATCTGTCCCTCCTGCCTCATCCCACCACCCTCCCTCTGTTGATGACGTCGTTCTCGAGCTCGAAGTGGCTCAGCATGGCACATCAGGAGGGCATCGACTGCGGGAAGCGGTTGGCGAGCCGCTGAGACCGATGGCCAACACGTGCCTCGGTCATGCGCAGGTTGATGAAGCCCACGCCTACATACAGATAGGCAGCGACCCTCTCACCGGGCCGGAAGCCACTCACAATCACACGACGAAAGTCGACAGGGTTGGCATGATTCATATTGCCTTCGTCCCAGCGGTCGTCCACAGTGATGCCCCCCTGCCGCTCGCTAATGACCTCTCTCATCAGACGGCCACGGCGGTTGGCATCACGGCCGATGTTTGCTGTCAGCACCCTCCTGTTGTCCACCCCCTCTTCCGGCCACCACGACACGAGCATCGTGCGCACCAGGAATGACGAGAAGAAGGGGGAAAGCCAGACATCACGGCGGATAGCAGGAGCGCTTGTCTGGTAGCCGCGGCGATAGGGATGGCCGGCGAGCATGTCACCCTCCTGCAGCACACGAAACGACACATTGCCGATCCGATAGGCATCGTTGCTGGCTTGCTGCAGCTGCAGGCTGGTCCTCTTGTAGGTGAAGAGGTGGCCGATGATCTTGTAGAGGGCCAGGATGAGCGGCAGCTGGTGGAAGGCTGTGGCGGTGGGCAGCGCATCAGCCGACAGCCGCAGAGGCAGAGTGGCATTGGGAGTGAGCTGATAGATGGCGGCCAGCCGAATGAACCGCCCCATCGCCCGCCATTCCTCACCACTGCCCTGCTCCAGCACATACACCGCCTTCAAGCCGTCTTCCAGACCACCGTCGTCGAAGACCAGGACTTCCTCGAGCCCCAGACGACCGATGGCCTGCTCTATGCGCTGCTTGACGAGTGTGAGCATCTCGTCCACTTTGGCGGGATTGCTGTCGTTGATCTGTGCACGGAGCTTGGCGCGTCTGGCGGGGTGTCATGAATGTCTGTGTGCGCACCACCTGCGCATGCACGTGTGGACTTGGAGTGCGTGTATATCATGAATGTCTGTGTGCGCACACCTGCGCATGTGAGCATCTTTATGTGTGCAGCTGTGGTCGTGTCGGAGCCCCTGCGATATCTCGCCTCCCTCATAAGCGAACGACGGCGACAGCAGTCGACGCTCTGTTGTATTGCCTTCTGGTCGATGATGGCTCTGTACTTCACCGTCGATGCGCTTCTGCTTGCCGTCGCCTTCACACCCGCATTGGTTGGTTGGTTGGTTAGTGTGTTTAACGAGACTCGTGTCTGTAACCCCGGAGGGGATTCATCCACGTCTTGCTGGAGCAAGTCCACGAGAGGGCAATTACTAAGAGGTACTACTCTTTCCCCTTGCCATCCTCTTAGCGCCACTCCTTCTTCTGTGCCAATACGTTCTCCCCTTGCCATCCTCTTAGCGCCACTCCTTCTTCTGTGCCAATACGTCACAGCAAGTGTGAGGTTTTTGAAGTCACGGTGGCTTATCCTATCACTTTTCTTTTTTTTTCTTTCGTTCTTCTGGAATCTCTCTGTGGTGTCAAAGGAATCTTCCCTTCGGGTCATTTCGGGTGATTGGAGGCGCGAAGCACGGGACGCATTCAAAGACGGGCAAGAGGAAGAAGGCCTTGACGACAGACGACTTCGACGCGATGACCCCACATGACCAACACCTCAAAGTCAAGCAATGGGCGTGGAGCAAGGAGATTTACGACTACGAGAAGCGGGTGATCACACCGGAGTTTGCGCAGCGGGCAAAGGCCATTGACGTAAACGGGGGGGAGTGGGTTGATTGCCATTGCGGCCAGCGCTGCAATACGAGCAAGAAGGGAGCCATCTTTCACTTCAACGACAGGCACCCGCCGCCATTCGGCCCACCGAAAAAGAACGAGCACTCGGAGCACAAGATATGGCACGAGTGGCAGGAGCGCGTCCACGAGCTGATGGAGAAGGTATGCGGCTCGTGAGTGGGTTCTGTGAATGGTTCTTTATCTGTGTCTTTTTCCTTCTCAGGCTCAACAGGAACGTCAGCAGAGGCGCGCTTCGGGCGAGGATGTGCTATCTCCAAGTCGAGAGGACGAGAAAGCCAGGATCGAAGAGACGGTGCCGACACAATTGCCGTCCAAACCACATCCTCCGCCCAGGGGCTGCAAGCCGATCACCAGCTTCTTCGCCAAAGCCAGTGCCGGTACACGAACAGAAGACAACGGATCAGACACCAACTAGATGTATCGGCAATGTGTCTGATGTGCAGTCCAGGGGAAAGAGCCGTCGTCGGCCGCCGCCCCTGCCCCTTCAGTCCCTGCAGCAGCAGCTGTCGCATCTACGTCAGGCGCCCGCAACCCAACCCTCCCACCCCCCCTCATCCCACCCCCCCTCACCCTAGCAGACGGCCGGTCGACGAAGCACCACGTGCCCTGTCATGGGTTTTCCCTCACGGCGCCAGCATACGTGAAGCAGTACGGCCACATCGCACACGGGATCGCCGCTGTTGGCAATATGAACCGGTTGGGCATCAAAATCAGCTACGATGCGCAGGTGAGAAATACAGCAGACACCTCTCATTCGTCCGCTGGTAGGTGTACTGATACAGCAACACCTGAAGAGACAACAGGAGCTGATCCATCTTTGCATCATGATGAAGCTCAATCCCTCATACGACCTTTTGAGGTACGAGAAGAGAGCGACACGAAAGCAAAACGAACACTAATGCATTACCTTCTGTGCTTTTCTGCTGTATATCAGGTCGGCACTCGGCGCACCGATTTCGAAGCGGTACATCCGGCGGCTGACGGCCAAGCAGCCTACCCGCCCCAACCCACTCGACCTCACACAGCAGGGCATCACCACCTCTCTCGATCACTACGCGTCATTGGTGGGGGCGACGCCCGAGAAGCCGGCGCGTGTGTCGTTTCCCCGTGACGAGACGATCGTGGCGCCAGCGTTGGAGGCTAACCTGCGGTACGGCCGTGTGTACGGGGGCTGCTACACCCCTGGCAGGGAGGACCACAACATCGCCATTCCAGAGGGGGCAACAGTGCAAGACTTTGTCAAGCAGCTGCTTGGTGAAGTGAAGCCGGCAACGAATGCCAAGGTGTGCCTGCTGGTCAACCACGAGACGGGGGAGCAGACTGTAGGTGTGGGGAGGGGCGGGAGGGGACAGTGGGAGGCCACAGGCCGCGTTTCTTCCCCCTGGCGGTTCGACCGGGTGTGGCAGATGCCGACGGGGAATTGCAGTTCAACAAGGACCTGGTGCATGTCGTCGAGCAGCATGCAGCCTTCTTACTGGTCAGTGGTCATGCGTGAGACGCACCGACACAGAAGCATGTGTCTGTATACGTGTGTTGTGTGCCGGTGTGTGGATACGTGTGTGGATGCAGGTTAACGTGGCGACAAATAATATCGGCAAGGAGATGGGGTGGATGAAAGAGAACTTCCTGGCCTTCCTCAACAGAGAGACCAATTTGCTGACAAACAACGACAACCACCATTGCGTGAAGGTGCGCTATGACCTCAGAGAGAAACACCATTGACACACCACACTAATATGTGATGCTGGATGTGAAACTCTGTGTGTATTCAGAATTTGCGCACTGCTGCACTCGGCGGCACGCGTATTCTCACCATCGGTTTCGGCGTGATCGATCCAGGCCTGCTGCCTACTGCCAGTGTGCCAGCAGAGACGTGGCAGCTGCGGGACTTCTCATCCGACCGCAAGGTAGAGATCATCAGCAGCGTCGAGAACCTGGAGATCCTCCGTGTCGGCGAAGACCAAGAGTCCTTCTCGGCAGACGTAATCGCCACCGAGCTCTTCTTCACGGGGCTGCGGTGCATGTCGTACATGACCCGCAAGGTACATGTACACTGCATCTGGTGTGTTGTCAGTCCATCTGAAACTCTCTCTCACTTTGTTCGTATGTGTGTGGTGCAGAACTTTAGCACGGCACTGCGTGTCATGTTGTGCGGCGTGGCGTTCAGCATTTTGACGCGAGTGCAAGGCCTGCACGAGATCACCTTCGTCAACACGGTCATGTGCCTCATGTCCAACATGTTCCTGATCATCCGCGAGGACATCACCAACACGGACCATGCCACCACAATGGGACTGGAGTTGAATTTCGGCTACCTGCGAACGATCATGCACAGTGAGCCGCACATATGCACACAAGCCACGTGCAAACACAAACATGTATGTGCTGGTGTATATGCATGTGTGTATCCAGATGTGCGCGAGTTCACTGTCAATGACTTCGTCAAGCACGAGAAAGACTCGTCCATCTTTTTCCACTGCTCCATCAATGGCAACATACCAACTGGTGAGTGCATGCACCACGCCACACGAAGCCACCTGCATGTGCGCACTCATGATTGAACATTGTGTGTATGTAGGCAAGACCAAATCGTATTTCGGCAACGAGAAGCTCTTCACCAAACGCCACGCGGCCATTCGACAGATGCTCAGTCAGCAGCAGTCCACCTTGCGGTCAAAGATGCTCCACCAGCAGCCGTGGTAGGAGCTGAAGGGAGGCGGCATGACACCCGACCTCAGCAGCCCGGTCAGCGTCGCCAAGCAGTGTGCCCAGGCTGCCCTGCCCGTCATGGACATCGTGAAGCGTCACGTGAGCAGGATGTTGCAGGCCTTTGGTGGCGTGCAGAATCCGTTGCTGCACATGGGAGAGGAGGGATTCAAGGACATCGTCACGTTGTCCGAGACGATGAGGACGCTCTTCAACTCGGTCAGATACAAACAAGACAGGACAGAGAAGTGTTTGAGTCATGATGCAATATGTCTTGTCTTCTTGTGCAGACGCGAGAGGTCATGGAATGTCAAGAGCACTCAAAGGAGAGCCTAGAGATGGTAAAGGCGGAGAGGCAGGCGGCATTGCAGGCAGAAGTAGAGGAGAATTGCAAGTTTCTGGACATGTCCACGGGTGAGCTCTCTCTCATAGTGCGTACCAGCGGTTGTTGATGCGATGTATTGCCTGCTGTATGTGTGTGTTAGAGCGAGACGACTCATCGGCTCCTCCCCTCCCTTCACCAGCCGTGCTGAGCCGCTTCCTCGAGAAGGCTGGCCGTTTCAGCGAGCACGATGACGACGACGAAGATGAGGACGGCCATCTTCGCGTCATCATCGAGCTTAACAAGGATGACGACCTGGGGCTCAAGGAGCTTTTCGGCGTGGCGGACGAGCCGTCATCCACATCGGCTGCAGCTGCCGCAGGTGCGTCATCGTCTTCGAGTGCCGACGTGATAGTACTGGACGGGGGAGAGGGGCAAGGGCAGGGGAATCGTGCCACTGAGGCTGCAGAAGTAGAGTTGAAGGGCGCTAAGAAACCTCAGGTGACCACTACACTGAACAAGCGAATGCATCAATGTGCATGTCGGCGTGTCTGTGTGCTCTGGTCTGCCCAATAGGTGTCCCTTGACAAGGACGCTGAGAGCCGCGCTGCGCTGGAGAAGGCGTTGGGCCTTGACGAGCTGCCGGAGGTCACGCAGCAGAGCCCCGAGCCGGCCTTTGTGCTGGAGACCTCATTCGACGGCCTCGAGTACCCCGAGCAAGTCCCTTACACGCCCGACCAACGACTCGCCCTCCATTCCAGCATAGCGAATGGGTGCGTCACTCTTGTAGCCAAGTTTGCAACCGACCTGCACGCAAGTAGGGAAGAGGAATGGCATTCATCGCTTGATGTTCCATGCACACTTGTCCATATCCCTTTCTGTCAGATCGTCTGCGTGGCCATGGTGCCGAGCGTCGAACCAAGACGCTTCAGGATCGCTGGTACGAGTCCACGGGCACCACCAGGAAGCCCAGACCGCTCGTGCGCATCCAGGGTGTTGAGTATGACAACACCCTGGCCTTCATGCGCGGTTCCGTAATGCATGAAAAAGATCAGGAATCACAAATGGGACACGAGCAGAGTGTATTCACTGGCCTTCACCTGTGTGTGTGTGTGTGTGTTTCTTGTGTGTGTGTGTGTGTGTGTGTGTGTTTCTTTGCTTAGTTGCGTGAGGTCGGCGAGGGGCGGGGGAGTGGCGGGGGTCCCTCTTGGTGTTGGCCACCTTCTCCAGGAAGGGGAAAAAGACCAAGGGCGGCGGGTGCAGCGACAAATGGGAGCAGCTGCATTCGATGAAGGTCCCTTCCGAGAAGGAGATCCTGCAAGCCATCGCCAACGAGAGGACACCCGTGGGCAGCCAGATCGTCGAGTACCGTGCCCTCGTGCGCAGGTGACTAACACGGCCACACACAGTCATCCATCGATCGATGATTGCCCTTGCTATCCTTGTTGGCGTGCAGGGTGGATCTTTCTCGGCAGCACAACCGGTCGGTGTATGAGCCAGTCACCACTGGCGAGCCCCGCACTTGGTGTGCGCTCGTGCCGTGTGCCGAATATGAGATTGTAGACTCAGTCGGCTGGACCGGCTTTAACGAGAACACTGACGGGCCTCAGCAGATGGATGAATGCTAGATATCACACATCCATGTCTGCTTCCCTGCCTCTCTGGCTGCCTGTGTGGTCTTAGGTAGATTGGCTGGCTGGCTGACTGAATGGATGGATGGATGAGAGGCTGCTGCACGTCTGGCTGCTCGTGAATACATCGGTCTGCATGTTTGCATGTCTCTTTGGCATGTCTGTTTGACTTGTTGATAGTTGGTCTGGAGACTCACAATCGCATATTGATTTAAGAGCACATTTCTCAAGTCGACCAAACATGAACATGAGCATTGAAATACTACAGTGAGTCTACACCGACACTCACAAGCCTTTCCGCCATTGTCTACCATCATAGTGGAAAACTGGATCGAATCGAAAGGCCTCGGCGGGGAGGGAGGATGATAGTAAAGATCGATCGAATCGAAAGACTTGCAGGTTGGTCATATGATGTCTCTTCCGATCAGCCTCTATGTCCCCCGCCGTGCGTGGACTTGGAGTGTGTGTATATGATGAAGGTCTGTGTGTGCTCACCTGCGGATGAATGTCTCTGTGCGCACACCCGCAGCTCTAGAGGATGAGCTGTGATTCGGCAGGTACACTTGCGGCATTGCAAAATGGCGTCTACCGACGGCCCTGCAGTGCCGCTGACCCCCGCCGCCCAGGCACGAGTACCCCTGCGCCCTGCGCTGGCCCTGATCGGTGTTGCCCGAAATGCAACGAAGCCGGGACGGCCACCGGATCGCTGTGCGGGACCAACAGATGTGACTGCCGCAGAAACGGGAGGAAGTGTCACAACTGCGTGCCATGTCACTTGGGTATCTCTGAGAATCGGGGTCTGCAGCGGATATTGAAGAGGACGGAGACTCGAACCCCCACTCCAATTATCCTCGTGCTTTCCACTTGGACGAGTCCTCGCGTCAAGGCAGAGCTGGAGACTACGCCCGAAGCTCTTTGAGGCCTATGCCACCAGTGAGTTCAATCAATGGAGCGGCCTCCATGACACCGAGTGGCAGCGCTGGCATGCCCGCTTCTCTCCGCCTCGGGGGTGCCTCTGGGATCCGCGGATGACTCGGGGAAGCGGCTGGCCCGGCTGCTCGCCACTGAGGCCCGCCAGTGGCGCTTGGAGCAACAGCCAATTGAGCCCATCGTCATCTGCGCCAACACGATTCTCTATTGGGCGCCGGTGACGTATCTATCTGTCAACTTCCCTGCATGACTATCCGGAAGGTCCACATACACATACACACACACATATACATCCGGGGGGGGGGCCAGACACGCACATATCGTATGCAGAAGGAGAGGTGCGTGTCACATACATGCACGCACAGCCTACACACACATGTAGTCTGAAGGGATATATATACACATGGGCGGGAGAGGCGTCGACACACAGAGGGATGGAGGGATGGAGGGATGGACTCCATCACAGCAAGCAAGAACAAGACAGACGGACACACCGCTTTTACTTGCGCGGTCCGTCTGCTACGCTAAGACAAGGTAAGGCACGATCTGTTTCACTGTAGAATGCGCAATGGTCCTAGCACACACAAATCCCCCTGACACACACGAAACATGTCCGCACGCACGTGCAGGAAGAGCCGATAAATGTACCTCACATGCATGGCGCGGTGGGTACGCCGTCACAGCGCGCGAGGCACGCATGAAAGAGCGACCTACACTCATCCATGCATGCCACCCGTCATGGATACACACATAAGAGGGCCGGACGGAGAGGGAGGATGCAAGGAAAGAGAACCATTATCAGTCAGCCACCGCTGTCAAAGCTCAACCACACCCCCACGCACGAAAACGGACATATGCACATTACATAAGAACACGCAATAGGTGGAGGGTAAACCAGCGACTATTCGTCTCAGAAAGACGGCAGAGAGCCTGTGAACAAACAAACACATATAGACATACACATAGACAGACACCTTTTTCTTTTTTTTGAACTTGCATTAACCGTAACACTCGTCTGTGTGTCCGTGACACTCATATAAATACAGTCCCATGAGCACGCAGAATCAAACAGGCTCAAGGGGAGGAGAGATTGATTACTACCCCATCAGCATATCCCAGCCTCGCAAACCCCCCCGTCCCCCACGCAGACGGTAGCTAGTCGCACGGGCGAGGGCGATAGACAAGCGAGAGCAAGTCCATACAGACACATGAGTGAATCCCCGACCCTTCCACCCCTCCTTCTCCAACAGCGCATGAGCCATGTGGGCGATGAACACGTTGGCATCGTGTCCCCACACACCGTCACACGTCACCACCAGCGGGCAGAAGGTCACGCGGGAATCGCAGACGGCCGGCCGGTATTTTTTCTTCTTCGCGGTCTCGTGCTGCTTCAGGATGGACTTGGTCGATCGGTTTTTGGAAGCATAAGACGATGCGTCAGCATCAGTGATGCAGATGTCAAACGACGCAGCCGCCTGCCGCTCCCAAACGTCACAAGCGACAATATCCGCCCTGACCCCACCTTTCCTCTCCTCTCCCTCCTTCAACACCACCTCCTGACGCACACCAGCGTCATCCCATGCCATCCCAGTCAGCTCGGCAAAAGTGTCCCGCAGCTCGTTGTGGCGACGAGTCACCAGGCCGTACCGCTTGCAGCACAGCGCATGGTCGACGGTGAGGGGCTGGTTGCAGTAGTCGCAGCGTGCAGCGAGGCCGGGGGGGTGACGGCCGTAACGCAAGTTGAGGGCATCTCGAAACTCCGCAGCATCAAGAGCAGTATTATTGTCTGTCGACGGGAGGGTGGTCAGCCAGCCGGACGTCTTGTACTCGGCGCTGCGGGAGAGGACGCGATGGCGCCGGCGGTCGATGTGCGGTAAGGCGGCCTCCCTCTTGGTCTTGTGGGCGACGTCCTGCTGCTGCTTGCTCCGAGTGAGGGTGTAGCGGATGGTGGCACGATGGTCGCTAGGGTGGAATGGAGCCTTCCCTTGGACGGACTTGGAGACCACCTTGGTGCTCGCGCGGGAAGCGGGGTAGGCGGCTGCGGCACGGTCGAGAGGGTCAGTATGCCGGTGCCGCCATGCCGGGCAGGCAGCAGCATCAAGTCGACCTCGGACGGCGTCACAGGGCCGCCGAGGAGGGCCGGCAGCAGCTCCTTGCCGATGGCCTCGCGGAGGGGGCTGAGAGCGCACTTGTCGCTGAGGACAACGCGAAAGACGTAGTCCCACTCTATCTCCAGAGACCTCGTTATTGTCGCGTGGGTGTGGGGAAAGTTGCGGGTAGCAGAGGCGAGCGCGCACACGCCGTGCACCCACCCCTCGACCTTCTCGCAAAGAATCGCCGCCCTCCCCCCCTCATCGCCCACATAGCCGCCCAGG